ATCAAGTAGTGGGAATCGCAATCGATAACATGTTGCCCTACTTAAGAAAAAAGCTTGCATTGCAAGAATACAACGATCTCCGTCAATTGACGTCCAAAGCATTAAAAGCCAAGCAGCTGCATCATGAAACCCAAGCTGTCCTGCAACAACGTGCACATCATGCAGCTCACTTTATTCAAGAACAAGGGGATGAATCATCCTCTGACGAAGATACCGTTGATGTCTGCTTTACTGAATTTACGCAAAGAAAGACGTATACATGTCCTGCCTTGAAAGCTTCTAAGAAAAAAAAAAGTACTCCAAAGGGGCAATACACGTTTGACATTGCAAAATCGGATCAAATTTTTTATTATTTATTGAAGGATAAACAAAACCGATTAAAAAAGGGACACAAATTCCCATCTGATGGGGAGTTGAAAGGGAAAAGTTTTTGCAAATGGCATGGAATCTTTGGCCACACGGTTGGAAATTGTATCGTATTCCATAACGCAGCTTCTACAGGATTATGATTAACAATTTTATGACCTGGCACAGACCCTCGATGATTTGGCTGTTGTGAATTGAAAAAACGAGCAAACCAAATATTATTTTGCTCGATAGCCGAGATGGCTACCGTCGCACACTCTTGAGTATTTTCCAGAATGTGTTGGCCGATTCCATTATCTTCGGATGAAGATGCTGATGAAGAAGAACTTTGAACAACCACATGCGAAGACCCTCCATGTTGCAATTCATTTTTACACTAGATAAATATTTTGATATTTGGTTGAAGTATATAATATATGCCACAAATGTGCTGATGTATATAAGATGTATAAGGAGAGTATTAGGTGGATCCAATAGCTGTCATTTGATCCATCGTGATAGGTGAATCAAACGGCTCTCATTTAATCCATCATGGTAGGTGAATTCAATGGCTCTCGTTTGATCGGTCGTGTTAGGTAGATCGAACGGCTCTCATTTGATCGGTCATGTTAGGTAGATCGAACGGCTCTCATTTCATCGGTCGTGTTAGGTAGATCGAACGGCTCTCATTTAATACATAGTGATAGGTGAATCGAACGACTCTCATTTAATCCATCGTGGTAGGTGAATCTAATGGCTCTCGTTTAATCAGTCGTGTTAGGTAATGACTCTCATTTAATCCATCATGTTAGGTGAATCCAATAGCTCTCGTTTGATCGTGATTCACCTATAAATAAAGGGTTTTGCTTCATATCATGTAAACCACATTTGTCTAAATTTTAATAAATAAAAAAATATGTCTTCTAAAATTTTTGTTGGTTTCTCCCACATTGAAGATCAGTTACTTACTAAGAAATTTCTTGAAATTTCTCAAGATGCAATTACATCCACTTATCAAACGTTTGTCGTATTTTGGATACGAGTGGTCGAAGCCTACAATGCACAGAAGAAAACCTAATGGGTTGAACGTAGTTTTCGATCAGTGCAGACTCGAATGTGCAAATTACAAAAAGATGTAACACAATTTCTTGCTTGTATAAAGAAAGTCGAGAATTTGCATCGCAGTGGAGCATCGGAATTGGATATAGTAAGTATCACTTTAATATTTATTGTTATAAAATTTTAATAAACTTGTAACACTAACTATATTTTTTTTCCCAGTTGCAAGACGCTAGACAAATATATTCGGAAAAAGATAAGACAAGTTTTAAATGTGATCATGTTTATGATAAATTAAAAAATTATGAAAAATTTAAAGATCACACAACGAGTGTGTCTTCTAGAAAAATTGCTTGAAAACATAATGCAACGCATGTTTCTTTGTCATCGGAGCATCAAATTAGCGATTCTCCTGTACTATCTTCATTGTCTTTTCATCTAGAGGATGAGGGTGAGGTTGGAGAATCCTCGTTCAATTTTGCTGATACTGATATCGAAACTCCACAACAACACACACGTTCTATGAGAATAAAAAAATATTAAATTAAAAAAAAATGATGATACCTTGCATTCTGATGTTCAAACCATGATGAACAACATCTCAAAAGTTGTCGAAACTTTAAAAAAAATCATATGAAGAAATTAATAAGTATAATGATATTGACAAACAAAAATTAGAATATATAATGCTTCGACGTGATGATAGAATTTTGGAAATAGATTTTAATGTTGTTCCAGACGAAAATCTTCGTATGCTATATTATAATTAACAACAAGAGATCATAAGGAAAAGAACATCACAATATCAATCAAATTTGACTGATTCGTTCTCGCAATTCTTTGATGGCATTGGTGAAAGTGATGTGATTTAGGTCCGTACTAACCATTATGTGTTTTTATTTTGTAATTTTTTTTTATTTAGTGTGTATTACTAGTGTTTGTAATATATTTTCTTTTAATTCAATAAATATTATTGAACTTCTTTGTAAGATATTGTTGTTGTATTTCTATGTATTATATTGTTTTTAGTTAAATCAAGACGCTAAATTTTCTTTTTATATTGGTCAATTAAATTTTATTTTAAATATATTTATGTATGTTTGTAAGATAAATTATATATTTTTATTCATTACAAATATAAAATATTATTGTGTGAAAAATATACAAACAAAATACACAAATTGTTTTTCAAAAAATTACTTCGAATTTATTGCAAATATTCTATTTATTTAATGTAAAAAACATAATTTAGATCATAATAAATTTAAATCACTAAATAAATAATAAAAAATACAAATATACACAATTAAAATTAAAAAATACCAATTTGCAATTTTAAATATTAAAAAAGTTAAAAAAATATATAAAAAGACACAATAATTAAGTTGCTACAGAGTAACACCATTTTTTATGTTGTACTGTAACAAACACAAAAAATGGTGTTATATATGACATTCCATTGGAGGGGCAAAACTTCAATTATGCAGTTGCAACATTATATTTAGAGAGCGGCATTAAAAATGCCTTACAGACTTTGATTTTTTATTTTTATATATACTTTTTGTTTGATTTTTTTTTTAAAGTAAAATAGATATCAAATATAATATTCATACTAGTATTTTATTGGGTATTGCATGATTAAAAACATAAATAATAATAATAATAATAATAATAATGCAAAAACCTCAACAGATACAAAGCCATATATATTTCCAATATGGAATTTACTTCTAAAGTTCAAATATTTGGGATGTGTATGTAAGGTTAGATGCTAAAAAGTTTAACTTAGAATAAATATATTATATATATATATATATATGCATATGATTAGTTACGAGTGTTTTAACACAGTATGTTTCAATTTATTATTCATCCAATTTTTTTTTTTCTTAAAAATATCAAATTAAACATCTATTTTTTATTTTTTATATTATACTAAAAATCAATTTTACATTCAAAATATTACATCAACACCTATTTATATCACATCGTATAACTATTTAAATTCAAAATTCTTACTATTCAAATTCCAATTCAAAATCCAAATCCTCAAACAAACACACCCTAAATAAACTACTCAAAATCCAAATCCCCAAACAAACACACCCTAAATAAACTGATATTTTGAATATAAAGTAGAAAAGAGTTGAAATTGAAAGCATTAAAATGGAGAGCAAGTCACTCAAGAGTCGAGTATGGTAATATATAAAGAAACAATATATTTTGATGAAATATTTTGTGAGAAAAAAAAAAATTAGAGACACAAAGAGTTCAAATAGTAAAATTTGGGAAAATTCGATTAAGAAACAAAGCCTAGTCAAGTGTAACTACTAACCAAACTAGGTGCCCTGTAAGAAATTCCTCCATTACCATTACTAGCTGCCCTGCAAGAAATTCCTTCATTTTATATTTGAAATATGCAAGGCATGCCACATGCATACACTACTATGTAAAATTAAAATATTATATACTACTACAGGTATTTATATTCAATTTAAAATATTACTAGTATATTAATAATATACTACTATTTTATGAAAAAAAAAAAAGAAAAAGAAGAGAAAAAAGAAAATAAAAGAAGTACTCGTTGGCAGACCCTTGTCTCTAAAGGATGAGTGGAGATAGACTTATGGTCGTAAGATCATGCTTTTCGCTTGTCTAGAAAGCTTAGTTGTATGGTAATATTAATTAGGCAGGCAGGCATGCAGAGCTCCAGGCATGCCATTCACAAAGGCCACCAGGCAATGCCATATATAGCCATAGTCATAATCATGGGTGTACTCTGCCAATGGCATACAAGGAGCCAGGCACACCCACAAATACACCATACCTGCAACAATAATCATCATAATAACAAAAAAATAGATTGACTGATGAAGACGACGACGACGTCTATAAGCTCAGGGGGGATGGCTGCTACCTGCATCTCATCCATCTCATCTCATTTTTACATATTTATTATGAGAAGTATACATACATACATATATATATATATGAAGGAAGGGTGAGCTGGGTGGGTACACCACCAGCACCAGCACCTGGCCCCTCCCCCCCCCCCCCCACCCCCACATATGATCAAAGTGACTTACTTTTTTTTTTTATCTAGTAAGAAATGATCTGGTGGTGTAGGATTACATGTGTAATCGTGAAGTGGTCACCTGTCACACATGATTCGTCTAGTATAATTTGTCTATCGAACTTAATTTGCAGAATATTAGATTCGACCAGCTAACGACGGCGGATTTTCTAGTCATTTAAAAAAAAAAAAAAAACAAAAAACAACTGACTTACTTTTCCAATGCTGCTTTTATTCTTGCCGCCTTTCCTCCCGCCCCTGCCCTTTCCAAAAAGGTTTTGATACAGCCAGGAATTAAGGAGAGGGAGGGGGGCCATCCATCCTTTTATCAAAGTTCCCTTTTTTGCTGTCCCTCTTTCTATTCTTATTTTCTATCAATCATTTCATGTCACACAAATTATACTATTACTACTGGAGTATATATAATATGCACACACAACCAAAAATAAATAAATAATAATAATAATAATAATAATATGGTTGAAAAGTAATCTCCGCCTCTCCTTATTCATTCAAAAAAAAATCAATCTTTGCTCGGAGCCACATACTATATTATATCCTCAATGGGACAATACAATTAATGTTAAGCAATTAGCTCCATTCCATTAATTGTAATTCTCCAGCCACAAATTAAAGAAAGACAAGTTTCACTATGAATGAATGAATACTCCACTCCTACTACTGAGTAAACCAATCAATCAGCCTCCATAGTTCTTGTATGAGCCCAGTGCCAACTTCACTGCCCCTGCCCTCAATATGTACTCATGATATATTGCTGCTATGGCTGCCCCCGCCATCGGCCCAGCCCAGAATATCCACTGCATTACATATTTGTAAATCATATCATATCATATCATATATATATATATATACAAGAGATATAAATATGCATTAACAAAGTAGCAGTAGCAGTACGTACATGGTCATGCCAGGCCTTGTGGTTCCCATACATAACTGCCGCCCCGAAGCTCCTTGCCGGGTTTATGCCCGTCCCGGTAATCGACATCGACCCCAGGTGGACAACAAACACTGCGAACCCAATCGGCAGCGGCGCCAGCACCGGAACGTGGGAGTCTCTGGCGTTCCTTTTGGGGTCCGTGGCCGACAAGACGGTGTAAGCCAGGACAAATGTGCCGATGATCTCGGCGGCCAAGCCGGTGCCCTTGTTGTAGCCGGGGCCAAGCTCGTTGGCGCCGCCGCCGAACCGCTCGTACTCTGTCCTCTGGAATACCTTGACCAGGCCGCACCCGCAGATGGCGCCTAAACACTGAGCCACAATGTACGACACCGCTCGGACCAGCGAAACCTTGCGGGCGATGAACAGCGCGAATGTCACCGCCGGGTTGATGTGCCCGCCTGCCCGCACCCAGCCAGCCAGCCCTTCAAATTACGGATTTGAAATTTTAATAAAAATGATTTAATTATGGTCTCACCGGACACGCCGGCGGTACAGTAAACGAGGACGAAGATCATCCCGCCGAAGGCCCAGGCGATGCTGAAATTCCCGATGCCGGCGCAGCTGCCGTGGCTCTTGTAGCTGATTACCGTCAGGATGGCGATGTAGAGGAACAGCAGCGTCGCGATGAATTCCGCGATCAGCGCGCGGTAGAACGACCACTTGCGGACCTCCCTGGGGTCGTACATCGGCGCCGGCGGAGGCTCGCGGTAATCTCTGACGCCGCCGGCCTCGACGTCGTCGTCATTGCCAGTTTCCCTCATCTTCAATCAAGCGAATCGACAGACGAGCAAGTGAGCAATCGAAGTGAATGCAAATTAATTGTGATTTCCTCTTGGTTAAAGATGATCACACTCCAATGGCGCCACCATGACCGACCTTCTTTGCACTTAAAAGCGTATGGGTTAGACAAACTGTAACAGAATTTTGTTATTACAGTCATGATCCGTCGACAGATGTTGTTCAATACGTGCTCAACAATTTCCTAAATATGGCCGTGGATATCAAGCCATCCATTTGTCCTCCAGATCCATCCGAGTTGTCACACAGTACATACATATACATATACATATACAAGCAAGCAAGTTTTCCAAGTTTCCATTACAGGAATTAACAGCATACAAGAAGTTGCACAGAACCTGCTCATTGGCAGGTCCTATGTTTTCAATTTCGTGGGTCCTGATCAACATTTCTTCACACAATGTTGTCTTTTATTCGCAGTGTTACAAGCAGCCAGATGATCAACAAACAAAGAAAAGAGGACTGACATGTTTGTGTAATAAGTTGCATATAAAAGCAGTATAACACATAGCAAAGCTAAGTAAAACAGTATAATCAATCAATTCATCAAGTGAGGGGAAAAACTTGGTAGGCTAGAAGGTGTGTCCTGCATACATACTTACATACATACATACATATATATATATGTCTCTGTGTGTGTGTGTTTTCCAGATAAAATTTACAAAAACTTCCCCCTCTATAGCAAAATTTAAAATTTCAAAATGCAGTTAGAATTCCCCATCTATGCAGCAGCTCCAGCAAAAGTCAGATTCCTCACCTGGAAATATCATGTGTCTGAGAGTAGCCCAGCTGCTCCATCTCCCAGCTCAGCTTAGGAGCGACCCTTTCGTGGCGCGGCACATATTCCTACACACAAAATCCGTAGTTATATTTAATATACATACATGTAATAAACAGGGCAAAAGAGTATAAAGCAAATTAACAAGGAAATAAAGAAAGTGAATTGCATGCATGCCTCCAGTCTCTTGACAAGCTCCTTTGCTGTTGGGGCAGATATGATTATGTGGCGAGCACTCGGGCTTATGAACCCTTCCTCGACAGCTTTGTCGATGAATGAAAGCAACGCGTTGTAGTACCCATCAACATTCAGTAATCCCACCTGCAGATCATGTGCAAAGTTCATCTCATTACACTCCATTAACTTAGTTACTCCCATGTTTCATTACAACAGCTTACTCATCCTGTCTATGTATATATATTCATTCACATACCGGCTTATCATGAATTCCTAGCTGAGCCCAGGTAATGACTTCAAGTAATTCCTCCAGCGTTCCGTAGCCTCCTACATGCATAATATTATTGCTAAGTTATTGAGCATAGAATACTATAGAGACAACTATAAGTGTAATACTCCATGTGTTAAACGAATATATATATACATATATATGTGGGTGGGTGGGTGGTGGTAGTGCGCATAATCTTGTATAGGGAATATAATCCACCACTATCCAAAAAATATTATTGCCAATTCTTAAACTCTAAATATCACTATGTTTTACACTAAATTCAAACATAAAAATAAATAAATTAAAAAGTCCCAATTAAACACACCTTCTTGTTTCTACTGGCTGAGAGTCGGATCAAATTTTCACTAAGGGGAGAATAATCATTAATGGAATTGCATCTCATCCTTGGTAGGCAGGCAGGCAGGCATGCATGTTTGTTTCAAATAAGGAAAGCCAGCTGGCCCCACCCCTACCCCACGCCCTTTGTGCATTTTCTCAAATTTTGCATTCATTGCATTTGCACCTTGCAATAATGACTTGTCGTGTATAGTTTATATACTAGTAAGAGAGTGCCGGGGGACACAGTGGGGCCCAGCTAAACGAAAGCCTTGAGATCATCTACTCATTATCTAAGCTGCTGTGCATTTTTCAGTGGGTATTGTAAATGTTACTAATGTATTCCATTCCATGTTTCAGGAATATTCATTCTATCATGAAGATAGACTTGAACAACAGATAACAGTCACAGTCACAGTTAAGACAAGGATATGAGAAAGAAAGGCTCATAAAATGTTTCTGAACAGAGAATCAAAAAAATAAACAGCAGAAATTGGAAAATCTCACATTGGGGTTGGGGAGGAGTTGGAGAATATTTTATATCAGGCAGGTTGTTCATCCTTCAATATGGGGGTTGAATCGAAGATTGAATTTTAGCACAAGAATGGTAATTTTAGCAGAGGTGTATACCAACCTGGTAAGGCAATAAAGGCATCAGAATGCCTGGCCATCTCAGCTTTCCTTTGATGCATATCAGCTACTGCCTTCACTTCCCCTACTGTTACACCTGTTATCTGCAAAAGGATGATGATGCAGCACCAAAACCCATGTTAAAATGAGGCTTGAATGAAGATGAAGATGAAGATGAAGCAATGGATATAATGGATATGGACTTTTTCATTTGTCTGATACATCTACAGCAACATGAATAAGACAGCAAGAAAGATAGGGAAAGTGATGAGTAACCAAATCAATGTGATAAATACCTCTGGCCACAGAAATTTGTCTCGGAATAAAATAAAAACAAATAAATAAAGTCAAACAGCTTTCGCTGAAAAACCACTGATAATAAATGGGAAGAACAGTTATGGAATTTTTTATTCAGCAAGAAAAGGCAGCAGACTTTTGAAGCCATAGCAGACAACATATACATGTATATATATATATACATCTGTACATACCTCTCGAGGCATGAGTGTCTTGGGAATCACCCTGCAGAGGAGACGACAACACAGACAAATAGTATCAGTTTTGGCGAACTCATATTTTAATGTTCAACATTCCTTCTTGTCATTTTTGTCTTCACCTTCTTAGAAACCAAGTACGGTCAAGGATTAGGATTCAAATATAGAACAATTACAAGGAAGAAACAGCAGAAGCTCACCCAATGACATGGCGACCGCCATCATGAACAGCTTGTGAAACCAAGCCCATCAACCCTATGCTCCCTCCTCCATACACCAAATCGATGCTCCCCGAAACCTTCCCCCCAAAAAAATGCATGAACATGTTAGGGTTACAAAGAAGAAGAATCTAAATGCATTCAGAAATATGTTGCAATACATTTCTGGAAGAACATTCAAGTATAGAAAATCCGCCATAGCCGAGCGATGATAACAACACAGGATTTGTATCGTGAAGCATCAGTATAACACAGCTAAACATTGATAAAACTAGAGTAAACGTGTGATTAATTGTTTCAATCATGAATATAAACAGAAGATTAAGATCCTACATTCAGCTTCTCTACTCGAAAAACTTTCAGAACCTGCGTTTAAACAACGCCGCTAAATTCCAAAACCGTCGATCAGTTACCAAAACATCAAACTCACAAAAAATCCACACACAAAAAGAACCGGAAAAAAACAACACTGTAGATGCAGATTGACCTTTCACCTACCAAACAAAAGCATAACAATCACACTTTCCCCCCTAAAAACAGAGCATTAAATACGAAAAAACAAAAATAATTAGAAACCGATCCAAAAGCTCGAACAATCAATACCAAAACTTTGCCAAGCTCAATAGCAGCATCTTGATAGCTCGTCTTCCTGCCTTGGCTGCTCCCACAAAACACACAAATCGTCTTGAATTTCGACGGCTTCACTTCAGCTTCTCTCTCCATAATCACTCCCCTTCTCTCGCTCCTCTCCTTTGTCTCCTCCTAATTTGTCCTTTGCCACTTGATGTAAGGCGCAACTCGGAGCAAAAGTGGAACTTTGATTCCAACAGCCTCTCAGAAATGGACACCTTGCTATGGCATATACGTACCACGCCTGTGCATATTCTGTACGTTTGTGCGGAGAAAGATGGATAAGGCGTGTGATGAATACGGACGCACCAGCTTTGTACCGTATGTATATATATATACACACACGCACGCATGTATGTATTTATATATATTAAATGGCTACCACATCGCACGTGCGAGAAATGGAGCTTGATCAAACCGGCCAAGAATATTTATTCCTTTCACAAACTACAAAATTATGCGTCGCTTAAAATGAACTAATTTAAAATCGAATGTATTGGGACTTAAAATGGAAAACAATAAATGTATATAAGAATATGAAGCCAAATACTAGGTTTGTTTCTTTTGATAAATTTGAGTTTAAATTTTTTATTAAAATAATATATTATGAGATATTCTACTAAGGGAGGAAGTATTTAAAAATCATACTCCCTCCGTCGTCTCATGTATTATGGGTCTATTATCGTAGATACAGAAATTTAGATAATAAATAATTAAGAAGTGTATTAGTAAAACGTATAATAAAAATAATTGTGGATTAAAATTAAGATAACTAACTAGTTTAATTAAGATTAAAAAAAATATAAAATTTAAAATTTAAAATGAGATTAAAGTGTATAATTATATTTCCAAAAAAGGAATTGAAAAATTATATAGACTGACTAAAATAGAAAATAGGGACAAATTATGTGGGACGGAAGGAGTAATAAATTTGTTTATTTTATATTTTTCAATAAATATATTTTTATATTAAATATTAAAAATAATATTTTATATTAAATTATTAATTTTTCGTGCAAATAAAAAATCTATTGTATATATTGTGTCCATATGAGTATATATTATTATTATATACTAATATTTATGCCAAAAATATATATATATATATAGATGAACAAACTTAATATGAAAATGAGTATTTGAATATGATGGTTTTAGATGCAAATTGAGATATACATTTTAAAAAATAATAATTTAAAAAAAAACTAGGTTAATTCTTTTGTGTTTTATTACCTATTTTTAATAATTTAATCTCTTATTATTTTTCTTCAAAAATATTAATATCATCTACTTTCTATACAAATATTACTATATCAATAATTATTTTCATTTTAAAAATATCATGTTACAAAACAAAATAAAAAAGACAAAAGACAAAATAAAAAGTAAAACACATTTTCATCTAATTTTTTTATTTGGGGGATTGGATTGAATTTATACTATTCATCCAATTTTTTCCCCCAAAAATATCAAATTAAACACATATTTTTTATATTATATTAAAAATCAATTTTACATTCAAAACATCACATCAACATCTATTTATATCACATCATACAACTATTCAAATTCAAAATTTTTACTTTTCAAATCCCAATTCAAAATCCAAACCCCAAATAATGGCTGCTAAAGTAAATATTATGAGTGAAATATATATGTATATAGTACATTATTATAGAGAATAGGAGTTGATGTTGATATTTTTCAATAATAAAAATATTATAGTATATATAATAAATAAACAATGCCACTCATTTTCATATTTTCTATTGTTATTTCGACTTTCAATTTTTTTATTTAGTTTTATACGGATATTTTGTTTTCCATAAATTAAAAATAATCTATAAAGTTACTTAAAAAAATATAAATTAAAAGTTCAAAATTATATATACTCATAATTATACCATCTAAGAATGAATAGACACGTGTTTGATTTAAGTTTTAAATTCAAATATTTATTATTCAACATACTTATTATAATAAAAGTACATTATATTTTTTTACAAAATATTATACCAATAGAAATATTTGATAATAATTTAGATGAAAAAAAATGTAATACTCCCTCTGTCCCGAAACTAAATATTCATTTGTTTTTTGCACGTAGTTTTAGAAATATGAGTATTATATTGGGATATAGAAGGAATAAAGTAGAAATGACTAAAATAACTTTATTAGTATGTGTGATATAAAGGTAATAGCATTTGTGTAATATATTGTAAGTTGTAAGGGTATTTGTAATGTTAGGTAGAAAGTACAGTTACTAAAAAAAAATGAATATTTTGTTATGGAACGAATTAAAATGAAAAAAATAGATACTTTATTATGAGATTGAGGGAATATAATATTTGAATTATTGGAAAATAAAATAAAATAAGATAGAAATTTATGGTGGTGCATGCATGTATGGTGATTAATAAAATTAGGATGGTTAGGTGCAAAGCAAGATGGATCATTTAAAGGGAATGCAGCGTCATCCTTCACCTTAAATGCGCTGCAAAGGAAAGGCTCATTTTAGGATTAATCAAACACCATATTTATTACTCTTTTCATCCTATTTAATTGGACTAGGTACGAGATTTAACAAATATTGATATTATATTGGTAGTAGGTAAAAAATATGGATAAAAGACTTTTTTGCTCTTGTAAGTGTATTAATGTAAAAAGTAGTGATAATTGTGTAATAAAAATAAAAAAATATGAATACTTTTACGATGATATGATTATTTATGAAAATAAGGCTATTATTTTGAAACGGACAAAAATGATAAACAAAATTATTGTATTGGAACAGAGGAATAGTTTTTTATTATCATAAAAGTACATATTAATTTAATTCAAATTCACACCGTATGATAATAGTTTACAAAAAAATATGTAATTTGATCTTTTCGCATTTTCTTTATTGCATAAATATATTGTATAATTTACAATATGATAATAATTTACAGTGTATTCCATTTTAACTCTAGTTATATATTGTATGTATTTCCTCGATCCCTTAATAATTTATTTATTTTTTTCATTTTAGTAAGTTCCATAACAAAAGTATTAATTTTTTTTAGTAACTATACTGTCTACTTAACATTACAAATATTTTTTCAATTTACAATATATTACACAAATGTCATACATTTATATCATACAATACTAATAAGGGTAATTTAGTCTTTTTATTTTTATTTCTACTATATTCTAATAAAATACTAACATTTCTAAAATTTCGTGCAAAAAGTAAATAAATATAATTAGCGTCTTAAATGCACCCCTATAAAAGTTTCTTGTATTAATTAAACATAATTAGTCCTACGTAATTTAACCAAACTATTAATTATTAATATTATAGTTATGGCTTCTTCTTCTTTTCTGATAATTATTGTTACTTAGACATATATAGGTATGGTACAACTACCCTATCTCTTTAACTTTATTTATTTTACTTTTTTTTTTTTTGGACTACTTAATTAAGGGTTGGCGATCAATTAAGGAAATTAACTTGCACTCGCTCTGTTCCAAACAAGATGCAACATTTGTTTTTAACATTTGCTTTTAACACGGGTTTTTAGGTGAATAATATTAAGTAAGATAATTTAGAAATTAGGTGATGTGATGGAAAAATAAATATATATATATATTTTTTTTTTGGATGGTGTAAGGGGATGAAGTGTGAGGTAGAGATTAAGTATAATTAATTATTTCCTATTTTAGAAATATTGCAGGGTATTTGAGACATACCAAAAAAAAATATTGTAGGGTGTTTGAAACGAAAAGAGTAATTTTTTTTTTTTTATAAATTTTTATATATTTAGAATTAAAAATACTTATTTGATTTAATTGCCATTACAACTTGCAATTAGTATGTTGAACGGAAAAAAATAAAAAATAAAAAATTAATGCAGTACTAAAAATATATTGTAAACAAAAAGTCACTATAATTTATAAATAAAAATAGCACATATTGTGCTGTCCCGTCGTCAGGGATGGCCTGGTGGTGTAGGGGTTGGACTCGTGACCGTGAGGTCATGGGTTTTGACTTTTTCATCGGGTCTGATTTGCAGGATATTAGGTTCGGCCAAATGTTTTACTTAGGGTGTGTTTGTTTGGGGATTTGGATTTTGAGTTGGGATTTGAATAGTAAAAATTTTGAATTTAAATAGTTGTATGATGTGATATAAATAGGGTTTGATGTGATGTTTTGAATGTAAAATTGATTTTTAGTATAATATAAAAAATAAAAAATAGGTGTTTGATTTGATATTTTTTGGGGAAAAAAATTAGATGAATAGTGGAAATTCACCAAAATCCTTCAAACAAACACACCCTTAGTGCGCACTCTCGGGTATGGCTTTTGATATAAGTTTATAATATATGTATATATATTTTGTTTTTTTTTAAAAAAAAATTCACCTATTTTTTTTTTAAAAAAATATATATTATACATATTTATTATTTTTATATTATTTACATTTTTTTTTTTTTTTCGAATCAAAACACGTAACAAACATACTAACTTGTTTGATAATTAGTTAAAATAGTAAAAATCTCTAAAAATTTCCGAACGCACACAACTACATGTGTTTGTCTTGTTTCCTGATTCTGGTTTGCTTTATAATTTTGATTTTATTTATTTAAGTTTTAGTTTTTTTTTTTTTTTTTTTTTTTTTTTTTTTTTTTTTTGTTTTCAATAGCACCCACCTATAATCTTTTACTTTTGTATTTACTTTTTAAATAAATATTTATATTAATTAAAAGCTCTCTATTTTATATAAATTTATTATTTATTAAATAATATTAATTTTAAAATATTTTATTGGAATATTATTTTTAAAATATTTACATATATATCTTAAATTTATATAATAAATTTTTTTTTTCACTTCTAAATATTTTAATTTTTGTCCGTCTAATTCAAAGGTTTATATTTTCTTATTTACATAATATTTTAAAAATAATTTAATATTTAATTTGATTTTGAATATGATATTTTATGTTCAAATAATATTTTAAAAATTTATAAAGTAACAAAAAATAAAATTAAGTTTTAATATAATTTGTATTTTATTTCTGAAAAAAAAGTTAATAATTAATACAAATATAATAAAACAAAAATAACTAAATCATATATAATTATTTTTTTCATAAAATATCATGTTGCATTAATATATTACTACCTTCGTCCCATTTAAATCGTCCTATTTTGCTTAGGCACAGAGTTTTATATATTGTATAATTAATGAGTAATTAAGAAACGTATTAGTAAAAATAATTATAATTTAATAAAAATAATTATATATTAAGATTAAAATGACTAAATAACTTAATTAAAATAAAAATTAGAAATTAGAAATTAGAAATTTTAAAATGTGATTAAAGTGTATAATTATATTTCAAAAAATAAAATAACAAATTATGTGGGATGTACGAAAATAGAAAAAATGAACAAATTAGTACGAATAGAGAGTATATAATTTAGATTTAAATATTATATAAAAATTAAATTTAAATATTTTATGTAATATTCCAATCATACAATTATATTTATATAGTATTTGATCATGATATTAAAAATATATATTTAATTACGATAAAATAACATAATAAAAATTAATATAGAAAATTTATTGAATAAATTTAAATTAAGGTATTGTCTTTATCTATGCGCTAAGTGTTTCATTTGACTTTTTCAGATAAATTAATATTTTATAAATATATAGTGTAATAAAATACTGTAATATCTATTTTACTTTTGATATTAAAGTTATTTTACTCTTGATATTAAAGTAAAAGTAATGTGAAAAATAAAAATTGATAAATGAAATAGAAAAATTTTATATGGAAAGACTAAAATAGTAAAATGAGAAGTCTACTTTCTAATAAAATAGTAAAAGTAATATGCATTGATTTGATAGGTAAGATTGTGTAAGTTGAAAAAGTGTATTTTATGTATTTTTTTTTTGTTTTTCTTTTATTTTTTTTTTGAGAAAAATGAGAAAAATTATTTTTTTGGATATTTTGGATTATTGTTTTATTTGAAAATAATAAAATTTGAAATTCTGGACAATTTTTTTTTTTATCAACCTATTTTTTTAAAAAAAAATAAGGTATTTGAAACAAAAATTTTATGTAGAGGAATTACGATTATTTATTGGAGAGAGGAGTTAATTGTACACGGCCGATTAAAGGGCATTGGTGGCATGAAAAAAAAAAACACTCTTGTCATCATCGTAAGAACATGCAAGTCAGTTCAATATATCAACCGTGTTGCCCTGTGAAGGCCGTCGTCATTTCACGTAATTCTAAAATGAAAGCACTTGAAACTGCATACGAGCAACGGTGTGAAGGAAAACAATGCAATATTATTTCGTAACGAACAAATCCTGGTACATAAAAATAAAAGATGACAACAACTTGTGAAAACAAGAAGACCCGTATGTAACTCGGAACTTGAACGAATTACTACAAAAGAAACAAAACGACACATGGTTTGCGAATGCCCAAGGAACACAGGCACGGAATGAGCGTCGTCACCGGGAGTGAGTCGCGATGATTCGTCAACCAGATCCGCTCGTACATCCTCACATATCATGATAGTGGTTATAGTGGGGAACGACCGCGTCAGTAGATGGTTGTGTCCGGGGTGTGCCTGCCGCGGACATGGATTCATCTATGTCAAGTTCAACACAAAAAATATATGGATTATTGAACTTGACGCTTACCGTTAACCATGCAGCTTTCTTCTCGGCGGTTGCATCATTAAGTCCCATGCCCGCATCCCAACGAAAGTTTGTCTCTCGAACAATAAGTTCACGTAAAAGAAAGTACGATATCCTAATCGCTTGAGCTTCTCTTTCATTTGCCTCAGCTCAAATGCACAATCGGTTTCCTCAATAAATTGCGTATGTATCTGAACCCAAAGCTTCGGGCCGAGGCAGCGCTCATCAAATCCATCTGCTAGCCACTGCAACCACACAATATGTATGAAGTATTGTTCAAGTTGATAAGTCCATTGCGCCGGTATTGTACGTGACACCCCGGGTGTCGCTCGCTCAAAACGGATGCATGCATTTGCTTTTAATTACTGGAAGGGTGAAAGGTTAGAAGGACGAATGAGCTAGTAAGATGTAATAGTACTTCACAATAGAATCAATAATGAATGCTTGTCCAAATAAAATGGAGCATCCTTGCAAGAAGATAATATTCGCATATCCCATGCGATTGATTTTTTGTGACACTTCTTTTCATAGTGTAAGGACTTTCTCTTGACATAGGCAGGTCGAAAAGGTAAGGGGGAGGGCGATTACCGTCATATGCGCTTGGGGGTTGCATGTGTAGTCATTTCGCCATTATTTGCGGTAATGATTTCAATTTTTTGAAAGACTTGTTGGGTTTTCCAAAATAAACAATATTTTGTTGAAGTGGTAATACTCTGGCCGAATAGATTTCCTAATCGGGTTGCAAACATTGTTCCACATTAAGTCAAAAGTTAATTCAAATAGAGTTAAATCAGGGATTTGCATTTAGATTTCGAATGGTCCTTCGGCAGTAGGAGCGATTACTGGATAGTATGATAAACTGCAAAGTAACTACATAAATGAAGTATAGACATATGCTCAACATACGTGGTGACATAAAAATGAGTGATCCGTACCGCCAAAAGTAGAAAACAAAGGGAATGGGGCCGTCAGCGGAAGACAAATGTAGCATGAGCTGGCACGCCATAGTGCTCACAAAGGGCCTCCACTCTAGACTCAATGATGCAGAGCCTCTCATCAATCCACGCCTGCACATGAATGAGCCGATCCTCCATAGCGGCGATGCATCCAATAGCGGTTGCAGATGTGCCCTCATCTGCCGCATCGTCCATCGAGGCCTCAATTTCCAGAGAGGTCTCCCCGCGCACCCTCCTCCAGACAATGCCCATTTGAATAAGCACTTCAAATCCGGCAGGCTTTATCGTCGAGGCCAGACTTTCTCCGAATGAGATCAAAATGTGTAGACAGTGTGCAAGTCGGGTGACATAAGGTCCAATGGTGATTGTACGATTGCGGCCATCCAATGCTTGCCTTGTGAACAGTCGTGCAAGGCAATAACCAACGTTGATAGGCACCCTCATCTCCATACTCCAAATATATTTGAGATCATCTTAAGTGACCACACTTATGCTGGAGTTGCGGCCCGTCAGCGTGCGGTAGTACGTACTATATGTAGCGCAATGTCGGGGATCGGAGTCCCGACGCCTTGGACTGACCCGGGTGGTATTCACGTTGGTTGCTCACCGATCATTAGAACTTCTATTGTGTCGCCTGCCACTCTCGCGTAAACTCATACAAACCCATGACAGTTGAGAACTCCGTGCAAGAGAGTCGGAAGCGGAGCATTGCGGAAAAGTCGACCTTATGTAATGCTTCTTGTCCACTCTAGAGTAGCCAAAAGTTCCAACGTAAACGTCTAGTGTGTATCGCCAGTAATTGGAAATAAACCGGCGCCATACACCCACATTCAAGTATCCCTCGACCTCGTCCGTTACGTTGAGTTCCCTTACGGTATCCTGAGAAATGCAGCGGCCCACGAAAAAGGAGACCCCCTTAAGGTGCTCAAACTTTGCATATTGGTCCGCAACATAGAAGGGGTGCAGAGTCTCCACTCCACCGAATGACGCAGTTGGCTTTTTCATGGTTTTCTTCTTAGATGCAAAAACGACTCATCTTCTTTGTTGGTGCCGTCCTCAACAGTCAACAATGAACCTACATAGTCAAAAAAATATGTTGTCATGTAAGGCACCGAAGACATAGCTCACACCTGCAAATCTAACAACGATGAATAAGCTCGGGGGACGGTGACATGAGTCAAGTAGCTGAATCTCGGGCAATTACTTAGCCGTACGTCCACGTGGGAAATATTTTAAGTAGGTTCCATCCTGAAATAGCAAGTATTGATTGTGTCTACACGGTCACGCAGACCTCCGTGTAAATTCCTGCGTTCAGAATACAAGGAAAATGTAAGGGTATCGCCACGCCCATGCAGTTTGGTGCAAGATTCCTTGCAGGAAGGCTAGACAACGTCAAGTCAAAGTCGCCACGGCCGTGCAGAAGAGGATGTAATTCACTGCTGCAAGCATGCAACCATTCACGTGGTCGTCGCCACGACCATGTACGAAAGGGTGTATTTTGCCCCAGCAACGACATATCAAATCTAGATGGCATCGCCATGGCCATGCACACCTGGCTTTAAGTAGTTGTCCTGCCTTCACTTTCACATCCAAGATTGTGCGCACGGCCGTGGCGACCCCCGTGACTTATTACCGGGCCAACACTAAACATGTAGGGATCCGCCGAATAGAAAGTTGTGATACAGATTTAAGGAACAACAAAAAATAAAATTAAGGTAGGTTTGTCCCGCATCCTTACAACACTATCGAGTAGCCCCCATGAATGGTAACTGAGGAAAAGTGTTCTTAAGCAATCGGAATTACAAGCAAGAGTATTTGTTGTTGTAATCCTACATATTAACCAAAGTGTACACAACAACCACAATAGCTGCGAAAGAAGAAGCTTGTAAGTACCGGCACAACCCATCCGGTCCTCCACTCCTTAAGTTCCCTCAGGGACGACGACATCCCAATTTTCGGTTTGTGTGCCCCTGTTTGCCTTGTTGCAAACAAGCGGTTCCGGCTCATGCGTATCAACAGATGGTGCATCCCCGGACCAATGTGTGGACATGTATGCTGCTCATTTGGAAGACTACCAAAATAACCTTTGGCCCCACGGAAAAAATAAGGCACAAGAAGTAAGCTTAGCCCGGGTTTTTGGTGCTTAACTTATGCGCTCAGGCATCGAAAAACCACTAACTGCACATTGGGAAATATTGCCCTCTAAGTTCATCTGCATTAACATGCTCATATAGATGATTATCAAAGTAAAGATGTGCGTAACATCCATAGGAGATATAATTACATAAATTCTGAAATGATAACGGTACAAAAATAGGGACGAAAGTTGAGATGTCGGCCATCCAACTAAGATGTGAACAAAACAAATACGGATCCACCTACAGACACTATAGGTGGCATAGTAACAACGTGCACGAAATCCGGGGAGATAAAAGAACGATAAACACTAACGTGACAAAGCTTCAGTGATCTCTTGATCGTGCACCAATGAGCATTCGTGGTCAGGTGCAGGGTCGCTTCCCTCCTCGTCCTGCGTCTCCATATTTTAGCCATTCGAAATCACGTAGTTGTGGACTGTAGGGCAGGCTTGTACGAGATTAACATGTTGGAAGAATTTGTACAGAGGCATCGACCCTCTCAGAATTGCAAACCTTCTCTTAAGCACTCCAAAGGCGTATTCCACTACGTTCCGAAGTTGAGAATGATGATAGTTAAAGAGTTCTTTTGGTCCGTTCGGCCGATCGGGGGTATATCATGGAAGGTCTCTTAATGGTAACGATTGGACCAGAATGGGGTCAACATCAGGGCCGAGTTTGTGTAGGTTGAATCCCCGATGTAGTATTTTCCTATGGCATTACATGATGAATTGAGAGTAGCGTATAGTGGAAGGGTTACTCCGATAAAAATATATGATGACTTAAGGCACGTACCAGCAGGGGGGAAGGAGAATCTCCGGCGAAGGTAATGGCACGATTAAGAACACGGGAATCGTGTCTACTTCCCTCAAACCCGGCATAAACATAGATGAAGTGCATGTCAAAATCTACCACGCCGAGGACTAATTGTTTAGTATTACCTTTGTGACTCCGAAAATATGGTGCATCTACGGTGGGGACGGTAGCATGTATAAGCATTCCGTCGAGTGCACCACTACAATCCTAATCGTTAATAAGAAAGTAGAAGTAATGGTTGAGAAATACTTTCATAGGAGGTCATTAAAAGAGAATTTGGATATACAACTCGGTACCTTGAAGTATGGCATAAAGTGTCTGTTCGTTTCAATAAAGAGATGCGTCATAAGTTGATCTCTGGGACACACTATCTCTGTGCCAAGAATGCACAATGCCTAGCTAACACGCTTGACATGCCTGAATATAGTATGTGTCGAGTTCTGAAATCATTCTACACTGCTGCGCTGCTGGTTAGAATGTGCGACAATATGTAGAAATATAGCCACCGCCTCATGTACACCTACGCACTTTTGAGCCCTAGTCCTAAAGAGACCCTTGGCCGAGAGTGTGTCGCATAGTTCAAGAAACATACTCTTCGAGATCCTTAGTAAATTTTTAATTCTGAAAGGGTGTCCGTTCAACAGTTCGTTCATGAATTTTTCACCACTTAGGGCCGAATCGTAACAACGCTGGAGCGTAATCCAATTCACGAGTGCGTTCATTGCCATTCGGCTTAGTTTCTCGAGTGCATCAATCTCCATAGAGCCATCATTTCCTTAGTAACATCTTTCCCACTGTCCTCGTTCTTGTCTGCACTCGACAGACGGCTGGATGGGATTGTGTAATTGCCCTGGAATTCCCCGTTCGAAGAACTAGTCATTGCGTTAGTAGTCTGAAATTGCATAATTTAGAGAACAATTCAACATAGCTCAGACATAATTTTCATCACCAATATGGAGTCATTAGAACTACATTACACCGAACCGTGCGTGAAAGTTAGAACGAATTGCACTATGGAAACAACAAACATATAAGAATTGGACGAATGTGAGACCGTACATACTATCGGTTCAAAATAAGTCGATGGTCCACATTTGCAGCTCCAGGGTCCATGAAAGAAATAGAAGTCGATGGTCCACATTGCAGATCGCATTAGCTGCTCGGAGAATGCATCTTCGGGGAGGCCCATGAAATTTTGTAGAATGTGATGTGCTTCAAACAATGATTATCTGCGCTCATTATGGAAATCGGTAAGCTTCTCTTGAAGCTCTTAAACTCCGTTGAAAACCTAACAACTCGGAGTTTGCAGACATATTTGATCCGCACCGATGTGGTATCAGACCCCCGCTCCATATTGAAAGATTGGTAGGGAATCATTCGTTTTTGGTTCCTTGGACCCCGCTCTCACCGGGCCCATCCTCACCTCCATGTCCTCCCCCTACCGTTGAGGGGCCGGCCGATCGCGTGGCAGTTCCTTCAGATGTATCCATGCCTCATGGAAATGGATTGTTGGACTGAGTACTAGTGCCTGTGGCAGATTGATTTGCAAACATATTGTGACAGTAGTCGAAGTGGGCGAACAAATATGTTAGTAAATGCCCGTACCCGGGGTATGCCTGCGGAAAGGGCTAAGTGAGTTCAATGCTCGGTGTTGGTAAGAAAATAATGCATTACTGGATTGCACGCCAACCGTTAACCACACGGCCTTGTGCGCTTCACTGGCATCGATCAGGCCCATTGTTGAGTTCCAACCTAGGCATGTATCTGAAAAGACGAGGTCACACATTAAACTGTACGAGGCCTTAATCATCTTGAACTTTTCCTGAAGTTGTTCCAAGTTGTAAACACACATTTTCTTCGTGGAACTGTGTTACTATCTAATCTCAAACCACCGGCGCAAAGGTGTCTCTGCGGAGTTCATCAGCTAACCAGTGCAACCACAAAATGTGCGTGAAGTACGGCTCTAACTCATAAGTCCAATTCGCATGAGGTTTCTGTGGAACAGTAGAGGTGCACGCCATTGAGGCATTTGTTTGAAGTCAAACAACTGATTGAGAAACGGAAAAAAAAAATAGTAAAACTAACTATTTAGGATTGTTGATGGTGGAACCATCCTCGAGAGATGGTATTAGTGATACCTCACATTTTCTCTTACAGCGACACAACATCCGAATGCTCCATACGGAGCTTTTGGTGTTAAGTATTTCAGGAATGTCCAGCTTTGCGTGCTTATGTAAGCCAATAGCGGAAGTGTATGGGTTAACCGATATTCCGTGAAAATGAACATGATATAACAAAATAACGCATGTAACTTAGGAAGTCCTTTTTAGGGGAGAGTAAAGGAGACCGTTTTATTGTACTGCCTACATGCTAAAACTAAACCGAAAACTCTAAAAAGAGGGTGTACCTTGTTGCCATTAATTTTGACGGTAATCACCCCACACTAGCCCTACAGTCCAAGTTTTCGTTGTAATGATTGGCCCTCTCCTCGATGTATGTAGGGATGCCCCTACCATGCACCAAGGGAAATCCATTATCAATAATTCGGTAAGAACCCAAGCGGGACTTCTATTTACACAAGTCAAAAGCATTATGAAGACAGTGGACCCCGTAGCAATAACCCCACAATTTTCAAACGCAACTTCGGAGCATAGTATTATGTCTTTCATATCGTCACCAAGTTTGTACACGCAACGACGTTTGACACAATAAATTGCTTGGTCGGAGACTAGCTGGGGCTTCCGTTAACCCCTAGATTGGACAACGTTGGCAACGCAATTTTAAACCAACTCTAATAAGAAACAAGTCACTTCAACCTAGGCTACGAAATCAAATTCGGGTAGTAAGATTTAGCTAACCCCTAACTCACTGTCTCTGGAAGGCAAAGAAGGCGTTGCTATAATTACAAATCCCCCATTCCCGCAAGGAAAACAACCTAGTAAAAATATTCTTTAATGCATTAAATTTGCCGTTATGAGGAGCCAACTCATAGTCAGTAACTATATTCTCAATGAAGGTGAAATCGAAAAAGCAAGGTATATTTTGATCTAAATGCATATGTATAGATAAAATCCCCCCGGAAACATTTCTTACACACTACTCGGCGAAACGACGACGACAGCACCATTCTTTGGAGATCGTAACTCCACTTAAACAAAAAATATATATATATTTCACACACACCCGCTCCCCCAGTTTAATTCGCTTGTCGTTCGAACTGCTAATATTTGTTCCTATAGTCAAATGATCATTAACAGTATATCTATTTCAATGTTTCTTCTCAACTCACATAACCAATGGTTTGTCCTATTAACGACACACCGTCTCTCTATTTATTTATACTAATGATTCTTGCAAAAATTTGTACTTCCACATACTAGAGACTCCGTCGGCCCGACGAGGTGGACACGGTGGAGTCTCTGCCGACGAACTGCCCACACCCTCAACCACTACGCCGCCATGTAAACCCCGAACTCTAGATTTGTGGCCCCTTTAACGTTTTACCGTAAACCCTGTTTGAATCTTCATAACGGAGTTCTAAAGAAATTCGACAACAACCCTTTACATCTCTCAATATTCTTCGCTACAGATTTAACATTCAACCGATGATGCGTACCATATCAACCCTAATCCTTCTAAATTGGAAATTTTTTAACCTAAAAAATGCAAATCAAGCTTATTTTGTTGCAAAAAGCAAAGAGGAGGTTAGAGCAGAGGCATATCTTGCTTAGCCGATGCCTTACAACTTTATGCACTTCCGGGTACCGGCCGATGCTCCGCGCACTCCAAACTCCTCAGTTCGAGTCCCCGTCCAATAGTCTGATTGCCGTCGGATTACAAATCCCTCATCGCCTTCGAATTCTCTGTTGCTAGCCCGTCGCCGTCGCCTATGTTATATGAATGCTCGAAGATGAAGGTGGAAGGGGAAAACACGCCGTCACCTATAGTGGTTGTAAGTTTGAAGGAAAATTGGAAAAAAAAAATGTGGGGTAGGTGTGCATACCCCCTCACCTTCCACATTAAATAAAAAATATAAAGAATTAATAATAATAATAATAATAATAATAATAATAATAGAAATACGAACCATCAGCTTATTAATCAAGATGTGTCAGCCATTTTCGGGTAGAAGAAGTTTCGCGCAGCCCGAATTTTCAACAGTATGCGAACAACAGGTTAAGGAAACATACCCTATAAATTTATTGAGATTCTCTTTCTTTCACATAATATTATTTTATTGAATATGAGAATATAAAATATTTTAGCATAAAAGATTTGATGCCTTATACGGCAATCCACATGGATTGAAGTGCATTCTCCAATACTTAGAGCAATTAGGGTGGCTATCCAAAAAAAAAAAAAAAAAAATCTCTACTTTATAATGTGTTCGAGTCAAAGGGCGGACAAAGGTGGGGGCGAGGGTGGACTGTAGCCTCCACCTCAGTCCGTTATTATATATATTTATATATATAGAAAAAATATATAATTAAGAAAAGTAATTTGAATAAATAAAAAATATTAAAAATTTGTATAAATTTTTTTAATGAAAAATTGTATAATTTGTCCAATTAAAAAATACCAAAAAAATTATATATATATAATACTATATCCGTCCGGCTCTAAGGGTCTCATTTACTAATAGAAGGACATTTGTACAAAAAAAATTATACAAATATAAAGATATTTTTAATATTAAATACAATAACGGAAAAGGTAAATATGACTATTAGAGGCGGACGGATGGAATATATAATTATTATTGTTTTAGTTTGTTATTTGTATTTATTTTTTTAAAAATATAACAACTAGAGCAATATAATTTTCGGACACCAAATAAATATAAATAATTATATATATATATATAAATTATTATATTCTATAGAATTAAAAGATTAGTCCCCCTCGGATATAATTCTCGTTCCGCTACTAGTTCGAGTCACTATTCTTAGCCGGTGTGATCAAATAAAAATGCATACAATTAGGCTTCAGAGGAGCCTCTACTGCACCAAGTCTTCTTGCCATATTTCGGCGGTGTTTACCATGCTGATTAAGAGTGTGGTTGACAATTAGTTGATAAACTTTTAACTTTTAGTTGATTCAATTAGTTATAGTTGATTCAGTTAGCTGATTTGACTAGTTGATTCAATTAGTTATTTGTATTAAAGTGTTTGGTAAAACAAATATTTGACATTAGTTGTTTATACATAAAATGACAATTAAAAACTTTGATGTTATATTTAAAATATTTAGTTTTGTTCATGTTAGTTTAAAATTTATAAAAGATTTTGTTATTAATTATTGAAAATTATAAAAATATTATAAAAATTTTTGTTATTAATTATTGAAAATTATAAAAATATTATAAAATATTCACTTTTATATTTTGAATTTGAGAAAAAAAATATTAAAAAAATAATTTTTTTATTAAAATTGTGTAAAATATAATATAATAAATTTTTCGTATATATATTTTTATTATGTTAATTATTATTTATTAAATTTTAATGTAATATTTATATAATAAAAATATATAAATAAATTAATAATATTTGTCTTTTCTATTTGATTTAATTTTAATAAATTTATATATTTTACAAATAAAATGATTTATAGGTAATAATTAATAATAACTAGTATTATTTTAAATTTACAAAAATAAAATTATAATTTAATAAATTAATTATATTAATAAATACTGCAATAAAAATATATTTATATGTATGAAATAAATAATTAAATATTAAAGGTAAATAAGAAATATACAAAATCAAAGTGAAAAAACTATTCCAAAACGATGGCTAGATTAGTTTTTTTTTATTCTAAAAGACTTTTTCAAAAAACTACGTAAGTTAACTTTTTACTGGTTAAACAACTAAAAACTGTTTAATAACCTAGAAGTTTTTTCCCGAACACTCCTAAATATAATAAGTACTGAATAATCTTAATTCATTGAATTAAATTTTTAATAAAAAAGACTGAAGATGGCGAAAGTGTAATTATTTCTCTGTCCAATTTAATTAGATTTGCAAATTATCCTTCTGCGAATTTGACGCAAGTCATACTTTTGTAGAAGAGGTAACTCACAATTTAATCGTATTTTTTTTCCTACAGTAACTTTCTTCCTCCTTCTGCAGCAGTTTTGTTTAACCTTCTTCGCTACAAACTTATGAGTAATTTGGATTAACTTCTGCGAAGTACTTTTGGCTTATACTTTTAAAATATACTCCATCCGTCCCAGATACCGTGTTTGCTACACTGTTGATACGGTATTTATTTTAGGAGGGGTATAATTAGTAGATAATTAAGAATGTATTAGTGTCCTATAATATAAATAATTATAAATTAAGATTAAAATAATTAATTAGTTTAATTAAAATTAAAAAAAATAAAAAATTTAAAATAAAATTAAAGTGTTTAATTATTTTCCAAAAAATAAAAGTGACATAGTATGTGAAACGGAGGGAGTATTTATTTATGTTTGTACTGGCTTTTGATAAAAGCAGAAGTAGGAAGCACCTCAGATTTACTTACGAAAAAACATAAGCAATTTTATAACACAAATTACTATTTTATCTTTCATAACAACAACAATAATAATAATTAACTATATTATATATAAAATTAAATAAAATTAAAATAATTCATTTATATATTATATTTAAATTAAAATTTGAAAAATATAATTAAGATATTAAATTTTAAAAATATAAATTTAATTATATATTAGATAATTTAGTATTTTTAAAATATAATTTATAAAGTTTTAAAATAATTTATAGCGTAAATTTAATTTTAATTTTTAATTAAATTAAAATTTAAAATATAACTTATACATAAAATTTAATATTTTTTCAATTAGGGTAGATGATATAAAATTTTTAAATATAATTTATAAAATTTTAAAATAAATTTAAAAAGTTTAATAGAAAAAAATATCTACGTAACTATATCATATTTGGTAATTTTATACTTTCAACTTTATTATATTCAAAAAAAATTTTATAAAAAATCTGTATTTAAAATGATTCATTCAAAACATAAGATGGAACTGCTTCTACTTTTTGCTTTTGCTTTTGTTTATCTTTAAAGTCAATTCAAACGAGCCCTTAATTGCTGTAATTTTTTATCATTATCATTATTTTACAATTGATTGGTAGTAACATATGCATATCACAAATTAAACGGTATGAAATTAATTACAGGGAACGAAAAATCTAATTAAAAGAATGTTAGATAAGTTGGTTGGTTCCATTCGAAGTAGATGTCTGCGCTCCCATTCTTTTTACTCCCTATGTCATATTTATTCTCACTTTTCTCATCTAAATTTATTTTTATTTTATTTTTTTACTAAAAGAATACTATTTTTTTTTACTTTTTCTTTACCTTAAAAAAAAAAATTCTATTTTGACCTACTTTTTTTTAAAAACATGTGCCCGATCAAATGGATATATATTTTGACAACAAAGGGAATACTATTTTACTGTGCTATTTTGATATTATTATTGTGCTACTTTGAAATAATTTTTGTGCATTTTAAATACTATTGTTGTGTTTTTTTTATAATTAATTTAGTGCTTTAGCGCTATAATAATTATGCTATATACTATTGTGTTTTTTATATCAATTTCTTTATTTCTTTCTTTCCTTTTGTTCTTTTTTTTTTCTTTCTTTGCATTTTTAAATTAGTACGAATCACGCTATGTCCAAATTTGTTTGTGGTGGCTTATGTGCTTCAATTTGATTTATTTATGAGAGAACTTTATACATAGATGATCAAGTGGTTCATTGTTTGAATTATGCATTTACGGTCACGATTTTGATGTTTAATTGCACTATACGATTTTTTGATTATGTTGTTTTCACATCCATATAAGAAGATGATATAATATACAAAAGTTATGTTTATATATATTATATGCATATTGTGTCAGCGTCATATTTTATTGTGCTATTTTAAAATTTTTATTGTGTTCTTTAAAGTACTCTGTGTGCTTTTTAAATACTATTGTTGTACTATTTCATAGTTTATATTATGCTCTTGTGATATAATCATTGTATTTTCGTAATATAACCATTATGCTCCCATCAGGGCCGTTCCTGAGTTTTGATGGCCCAGGCAATAATAAAAAATAATTATTTTTAAATATTTTTTTGGGCTTGTTTGCTTCTATTACAAATAAAAATATAATACTCTCTCTCTCTATCCCAACTCAAAGTATCATTTTAACATTTTTGTCCGTCCCACTCTAAAGAAACAATTTTCTATTTTAGTAAAAGATCATACACCAATATCAAAATACCCTTAATTTTTACCTAAATTATAAAAATATCATTTCACATACAATAATTTTTTACATAAAATAAAAAATATCAAAATCTCGTATACACTTCCACTACCTAACTAATAAAATAATATTATTTATTAATTTAATATAAAACTTCAAAGCGCTATTGAAAATTTAAAAAAAAACTTTCAAAAAATTATATAGACTTGACATCACCAAAATATGATTAGATACCCTACAAAAAGATTGTAAAAATTAAATGAAGTTAAAATACACCATACTCTATGCATTTATAATTTGATCAGATGATTAGAATTTAACTTGAACTTATTGTTGTTCGTATTTTATTAATGCAGGGGTTATTTGGATTCAATGAGATTTTGCAATAAAAAATACATTTGGAGTTCTATAGTTATTATTATTGAATTATTGATTTTATAATAATCAAAATATTGTTTATTTTCAATTGATAATACACTTTATACGTATGTCCGTTTATTATACTTAAAAATGCTACTATCTTCGTCTGATTCGAAGGATTCCATTTATTCCCCTACGACAATAGTTATCACCGAAATTAAAAGCCTTGGAAGAAGGCGTGCCTTGATGACATCATCGAAGAGCATGCGAATCACGTGATGGAAAAACATAGTCAATGATGAGTGATATAAACGAGTTCTCTGATGTGGTTGTACGAAGGAAACTCCCTACCGTACGCCA